GGTTTTAGGGTTTATAGGGTTTAAAGGGTTTGGATGGTTTAGCGGGTTTAGAGGGTTTGTAGGGTTTGCAGGGTTTATGGGGTTTATCGGGTTTACTTATAGGGTTTATAGGGTCTAGGGTTTATAGGGTGGAAGGTTTAGGGTTTATAAGGTGGAAGGTTTAGGGTCGTTTGCACTTCCCCCCCCCCCCCCCCCCCCCCCCAACCGTCCCTTCCTCGGCTGCTTTGTTCACCCAAGTCTCAGAGGCAGCTTAGCCTGGATCGTCTGCGGACGCTGCACCCTGGCCTTCATCGGATGTAACTTATGGTGGAGCCCACAGCCCCGTCGTGGCACGTCAGTTCAAGCAACGCAAGTAAGTACCCTGAATGCCTATCAGACACGCGAACGGGCATGGAGTGATATGGAGTCTAGCCCTAAACCCTAAACCCCTTGGTGGAGAGCGATCAGCTTGGCGGGTGGCAAAAATAGAAACCTTGTGCGAGTTCCTCATGTATCGGGCGCCTTGCAAGACGAAAAGAGTTAAGGCATCTGGATGTGCTCGAGGAGAGCGGCCATTTGCCGCAGAGGCCAATCTCGTGTTCCTTGGGGACTTTAGGGTTTAGGGTTTAGGGTTTGAACCCTAAAAGGGTTGCTTATAGTTCATATCACCTTAGTACGGATTATAGTAGTATAGGGTTTATGGTTCAGATACCTTATTAGGATTATAGTAGTATGGGTATGTGACCCCAATTTTAGGGTTCATTTGGCCCCAAAGGTTCCTCACAAGGACGAGGTAGCGTATACGGCCCGGCAGGTGCTGTTAGGGTTTCGGGTTTAGGGTTTAGGGTTGTCTAGGTAAGGAGAGTCAGATCATCCAGCAATGCGCGAGTCATGGTGCATGGAGCGGAGTTTTTCGACATATGTGGTTACCATGAAACCCGTTCGCAAGTATTTTCACTACCAACAATTATTACTGCTATGGCTATCACTACTATTGTGAATATTATTTCTCTTGCAACTAAGTGTTTATAGTTTTTGTTGCTACTGAAATTACGATTGTTACTATTTTATGATGACTCAATGTTATTTCCATTCCCGGCATTTTTTTTGCGTTTTTGAATTGCTAGGATTCTAAGTCCCCAAGCTAAACCCTACTGGGGGTTTCCGACATTAGGGGTACCTTGTTCGGGTCCTCACTATAAAAGGGATTCCTACTATTTGGGGCCTATATTGCATGAAGGTTCATGCTACTTATTAACCAATTTTAACTCTACTTATCACCAACCAGGATGCCCAGTAGTACCCTTATTCCCTTTTTGGGGGGTTTAGGTTCCCTTTGCCTAGGTTACTGGGCAGCCTAGCCAATTAGAACCTTATCAGGGCACTTAAGGGGCTTACATGATCAGTCGAGTTTTTGTTGGCTAATAAGTACCTTTGCACCTCCCCGTAGGGGTCCCTCATGTTCGTAAACTATAAGCTATCCTAAACCCGAAACCCTAAACCCTAAACCCTCAACCCGAAACCCTAAACCCTAAACCCTAACCCTCATTTTCGTAAACCCCCATATCCTGCTCAGCAGGCTGGCGGACCGGCTCCTCAGCAGCTTGGGTGGCGCGTTGACCGCCGCAAAGCGTACTGCGGCACTGCCTCTGGAGGCTCTGGCGGCTTGGGGTTTAGGGTTTAGGGTTTAGGGCTTAGGGCTTAGGGTTCTGGGTTAGAAGCATTTGAGGTTTCGGGTTCGGGGTTCTGGGTTGAAAAGGGTTTAAGGTTTTTTTTCCGGCTTATGACGTCTACCCAACTTTCTGACATGGTTTCCAAGAAGTCCTTCCTACGGTAGTGGTTGCAGCAGCGTTTGTCGCCATGAATAGCATGCGTGGGGTCTCTTGCTTTGTATTGGTTTCGACGTTTCGAACTTCCGCTAGGGGCGCATCTTCGTCTTGGCACCTCAGATTGTTCTTTTGTCTTGTTTAAGCGCGTTTGCTATCATATCATGGGCCTGTGCAGCGGTGAGCTGGTTTCGCATTTCTGGAATGAGTGTATGGGTGTATGGGCTCTTCAGGGCCCTCCCGCCTTGTGTGGCAACACTCTCCATGGCAGGAGCTTTCCTTGCGTCTGGCCTCCTTCGCGGACCACGCGGAGCCACTGAGGAGGGCGCCAGGGTGCACTCGGGGGCTTCGGATCACTCCAGGATCCCGTTTTGGCACTCCAACATCAGTGTCGCTCGAGTCGCAGAGCTCTAAACCCAAAATCCAGCCTTCATGTAGCACCCCAGACTCCAAAGCCAGAACTAAGCCTCTATCAGCATCTCCCCCCCCCCAACCCCCCCCCAAAAGAGCTTCCCGGTTCCCTCCGACGCGAGAAGTGGCGCCGAGTGTGCAGGCCCAGCGCCGATGCCCGCAGCGCCCTCATCCTGGGCCTGGAGTCCCTGCCGCTCCGGCGACTGCAGCTCAGACCTCCCCTCAGACATGTGAGTAAACAAGACTGAGAATAGTATTATAATAGTATAATTAGTATAATAATCGTATAATAGTAGTATAATAATAGTATCATAAAAGTATCATAATCGTATAATAATCGTATAATAATGGTATAATGATAGTATAATAATAGTATAATGGTTTCAATAGTAGTAATATTAGCAATAGTAATGATGACCATATAACAGTAGTGACTGCTCAGATTCCCTGCAACTCTCTGGAGACCTGGGCCTCAGGGGGCCCGCAGTTTTTTTTGTCCGATAGTAGCTTGGCGTCTTCTCACACGCTTGAAGCTTACAGTGCTTGGAGATCCAGGGTACTGATAAGCCAGTTCTAACTGTGCTTATACACCACTTATAAGCCCCTTACGTGCCCTCATATGGCTTTATAATTGGGGTTATATGGTTAATAAGTACCCTGAAGCTTCAAGCAGCGCAAAACAAAGGCTTGCCACAAGCAGCACAACTTCCTGTCGGCCAAAGCATGGGGAAAGCATGGGTGCCAGGCTTCCTGCCGCTGCGCCAGAAGGATGTGTTGGAGAAGGCCTGGTTAGGGTTTAGGGTTTAGGGTTTAGGGTTTAGGGTTTGGGGTTTAGGGTTTAGGGTTTGGGGTTTAGGGTTTAGGGTTTGGGGTTTAGGGTAGGGTTTAGGGTTTAGGGTTTAGGGTTTAGGGTTTAGGGAGGATTGAGAGCGAATCCATCGGTTTCCGAGGCTTTTGAAGTCCGACTATGCAGCCCTTCCATGGTTCTCCCCCCCAACCCCCACTTTGGTGCGGTGTGGGGTTTAGGGTTTGTGCAGGGTTTGGGGTTTAGGGGGACCGCGAACTGCGGTATTTGCATGTTCCGGACTAAATGTGAATGCTCGTAGTGTGTAAATGTACAAAGCGGACCTCTACCTACGTGCATAGCATGTACTGTACTGTAGCTAGCCATGAAGCCTGGGCTGCAACTTGTTCCCGAATCCTTCCTTCCCAGCCAGGTGGAAGATGCCAGCGGCGGAAGGTCGTTAACCTTCACGACTATGCTCAAAGGGCTGTGCCATTTGGAGCATCTCGTCCTAACCCACAACGGCATGTTTGGAGACGTCGCCATGGAGCTGGCCAAGGCAGGGGCAAGACGGTTGTGGGAACGGTGTGAACTCCTTGTCGCCTTCATTGGTTCACGAGGTTCCGGCAGGACAGTTTAGAGAACTCCGGCTTTTGATCACACCTACCTTGTTGGTACACACACACGAATGTACATAGAGATGTGAAATCCGGTTGAAAGCCAGATATTTGTAGACGTATTGAACACGACATCACCGCAGCTTGGGGCCAAAGCTTGTGCTGCTACCCTAAATAAACCCTATACCTTAAACCCTTCATGACAGACCAGACCAGACAATGTTCTCTGCAATGGGCCTCTGAGTCAGCTAGGCGGGTGGCCAAAAAGCATTCGCCCCCCTGTGAAAGGCAGTGCAGCAGTTGAACCTCCGCACCGCAGACTTCTCCAGAAATCGTATCTCTGTGGAGGCTGGGCATCTCTGTAGTTGTAAACATGTATGCTGTTTTTCTTCCTTTACATGTATACATCTAGATGTTTGTTTGTACATATACATAGCAAAAAGATAAGTAAATGCATATACAGGAAGTATATGCACGCATAGTTTCACATGTGCTGGTTCCAGTAACGCCGTCCCTATAGCCCCAGACAGGACGAACCCATGATACATCCAATGCACGACGGTTTAGGGTTTAGGGTTTAGGGTTCAGGGCGCCCTTATGGATGCAGTCTTTAGGACCTGGAGTCTTAGGGAAGCCTGGATAGTTCTCGTAGTACTCTTTAAATCTGAACTCGGGGGCCACTGGAGTTCCGCAACTGATGTTCAGTGCAAGACTTCTTGGACGGGTGCCCCCAGCAAGAAGCCCGCATGTCATGAAACTGGGTTTAGGGTTAGGGTTTAGGGTTTAGGGGTTAGGGTTTAGGGTTTAGGGTTTAGGGTTTGGGGTTTAGGGGCTTCGGGGCTTTCTTCGCCCAATCATTGCTGTGAAGGTTTGGAAGAAGGTCGCCGCGGCGCTCGGGAGTCGGCGGCCGAGAGTAAGAGTAAACTCTAGAAAGTTGGAACATGGGCCCTAAACCCTAAACCCTAAACCCTAAACCCTAAACCCTAAACCCTAGGGTTCCAAGTGTACAAATAAGAGTAGAGTTAATTAACCTCTAGAAAGTTGGAACATGGCTTAACCCTAGGGTTCCAAGTTATACAAATAGTAGAGTTAAGTAAACTCTAGAAAGTTGGAACATGGTTTAACCCTAGGGTTCCAAGTTATACAAAAAAGAGTAGAGTTAAGTAAACTCTAAGAAAGTTGGAACATGGTTTAACCCTAGGGTTCCAAGTTATACAAATAGTAGAGTTAAGTAAACTCTAGAAAGTTGAAACATGGTTTAACCCTAGGGTTCCAAGTTATACAAATAGTAGAGTTAAGTAAACTCTAGAAAGTTGGAACATGGTTTAACCCTAGGGTTCCAAGTTATACAAATAAGAGTAGAGTTAAGTAAACTCTAACAAAGTTGGAACATGGTTTAACCCTAGGGTTCCAAGTTATACAAATAGTAGAGTTAAGTAAACTCTAGAAAGTAGGAACATGGTTTAACCCTAGGTTTCCAAGTTATACAAATAGTAGAGTTAAGTAAACTCTAGAAAGTTGGAACATGGTTTAACCCTAGGGTTCCAAGTTATACAAATAAGAGTAGAGTTAAGTAAACTCTAAGAAAGTTGGAACATGGTTTAACCCTAGGGTTCCAAGTTATACAATAGTAGAGTTAATTAAACTCTAGAAAGTTGGAACATGGTTTAACCCTAGGGTTCCAAGTTATACAAATAGTAGAGTTAAGTAAACTCTAGAAAGTTGGAACATGGGTTCCAAGCAAAACAAATAAGAGTAGAGTTAAGTAAACTCTAAGAAAGTTGGAACATGGTTTAACCCTAGGGTTCCAAGTTATGCAAAAAGTAGAGTTAAGTAAACTCTAGAAAGTTGGAACATGGTTTAACCCTAGGGTTCCAAGTTATACAAATAGTAGAGTTAAGTAAACTCTAGAAAGTTGGAACATGGTTTAACCCTAGGGTTCCAAGTTATACAAATAAGAGTAGAGTTAAGTAAGCTCTAAGAAAGTTCGAACATGGTTTAACCCTAGGGTTCCAAGTTATACAAATAGTAGAGTTAAGTAAACTCTAGAAAGTTGGATCATGGTTTAACCCTAGGGTGCCAAGTTGTGGTTTAACCCTAGGGTTCCAAGTTATACAAATAGTAGAGTTATTTAAACTCTAGAAAGTTGGAACATGGTTTAACCCTAGGGTTCCAAGTTATACAAATAAGACCTAATAATACCTGCACTGGGGTTAACCCTAGGGTTCCAAGTATACAAATAAGACCGAAGAATACCTACATTGGGGTCTCAAGTCCGTAAATAATGCCTACTTTGGGCTGTTTGGAGCCTTGGGGTAAGGATGATTAGAGCTGGGATCAGGAAAGACTTGTTCCTGAGAAACTGAGTGTGTGTAGCAAGGCTTCACGAAGAGGGGTGTGTGTGGGGGGCGTTGCAAGACCACCAAAATCAGGACCGAGACACCACTTGGGTAGTTCGCTAGCTTAGGGTTCCCAAAAAACGGGTCCTCTTATCTTTAAGCCATCCTTTCTCAAGCACTCCACTTAAGGGCTCCGAAGTTCGTCCCCCCCCGGCAGCCTCAGGTTCTGTGAAACTACAAGGCTATGAGTCGCAGACATCAACTTGCTGAGTTTTTTTTTTTGATGCGAAGGCTTCGGATGATTCACCATGATTCACCCCAAGTGGGCCAGCTTTGCAACCCCGACTCCGGCCTTGCTTTGCATTGGATCTTCTGTCGTTTGCTCCCAAAGGAGGGCTCCCTCTCTCTGGGCCCCAAGGATCGCCCTTTAAGGCGGTACGGGGTTGCCTTGCTGGCCTTGTAGCGGCTTCTCTTCCCTCCATGGAAAGGATAGAAGGTTCTTGCAGCAGCTCGGTTGTTGGGCAAGGGCATACGGCCCATGATGGAGTGAAGGCGAGCTGGGCACCTGGAGTGCAGTCGATGGAACGACCGTAGAAGCCCTGTTAGGTGAGCACCAAATCAGGGTCCACGCACTTGAGATGGGCACGCCTCCCCCGCGAGACTCAATCCCCCAGTGTGGTCTCCGATGTCTGAAATAGGTGGGATTCCTGGCTTACATGATCAGAGAGGGAGCCTGCTTTTGGGAAAACTAAAGCTAGATCCAAAACATCGCTGGGGCATCTTCGCGGAGGGTTCACATACCTTGGGGACCAAATGAACCCTAAAATTGGGGTCATATACCCTATACTACTATAATCCCTATTTAAGGCATATGAACCATAAACCCTGTTAGGGTTCATTTCGTCCCCAAGCTACGGTTCAGGGGTTGTTCCGTGAAAGGCCGCAGTCTCCCTTGGGCAGCGTTTTGGGTTCATGGGTGCTTTTGTTCTAGCCCTAAACCCTAAACCCTAAACCCTAAACCCTAAACCCTAAACCCTGGGTGGTACGAGACCACACTGCGCTGGCCACACGAACGTCTTGCACTCCGACGCTGGGGAAAAGGGTGAGGTACGGGAGCTGCCAAAATAATCGTCATGAAAGTGTTTAGGGTTTAGGGTTTAGGGTTTAGGGTTTAGGGTTTAGGGTTTAGGGTTTAGGAACCTCTTTCAAGGCTCCCTTGCTCCCCCTTCCCACCGATTTGCAAACGTGCTCTGTTTTTTGCCCCAACCTGCAAATGCGCCCTACAGATCCACCGACATCGCCGCTGCCACTTTAATGACCGCACGGAGCGCCTGATTCAGTTTACAGTAGGGTTCGTGGGCGTTCAGCTTAGGGTAATACAGGCGTTGGAAGAATGACTAATAGTGTTCCCTTAGGGTCCCTTTGCAATTATACTATCATAACCCTGTTCTAATTGTTAGGGACCCTATACTAATCGGTTTAACAGCTGCTCCTCAGTCCAGGCAAAGGCATCGGTGAATTCGCCCCCCGATGTCCAACAAGAGGCCCCGGCACCAGGCCCGGCTAACTGCAAGCATCACCTTGGCCAGTGTTTCCGAAGCTTCCACTCTGGGCATAATTATTATTGGAATATGTTGTATACGCTGAGATATTGGCATAGATGAAACACACACATATATATATATATATATATATATGTGTGTGTGTATACATATATATATATTTTTTTTTTTTACTTTGAGTTCTTCCATATATCTCGGTGTAACATCGCCTTTGCCTGCCCTTCGAGCCAAGGACACCCTGTAGAGTCTCCAGCGCCTCTAGAGGGAGGTCTGGTAGAAAGGGGGAGCATCCCCACCTAAACGAATTCCATCAGCTGCTAACCCCAAGCACTTTGGCCGGTCTGCTTGGCGGGTGTCTACTCAAGGTCGGCATCCGATGGCCTTGCTTAGAAGTAAAGTAGGTCACCTTTAACCGTTCTGAAGGGGTCTTCTAAGCCTTCTCGAATCCCAAATAGGTTAACCTTTACTTCCGTTAGGATACCGGACAGCTAAATCCGTGTGGCCACTGACCCCCCCCCCCCCGCAAAACCCCTAACCCCCTAAGCGCTACACATTCCACTCCACCCAAGGTCGGCAATACGATAGTCTTCTCACACGGCTCAGTTTAGGGCTTAGGGTTTAGGGTTTAGGGTTTAGGGTTTAGGGTTTAGGGTTTAGGGTTTAGGGTTTAGGGTTTAGGGTTTAGGGTTTAGGGTTTAGGGTTTAGGGTTTAGGGTTTAGGGTTTTGGAACACGGCCTCGCTTCAATCTGTAGCAAGTTTCACAGCCGATGCTTGCCAAGCCTACGAGATTTGAAAGGCCCGGCTGCCACTCGTGGCCTTCACCAGGGCTTTTAGGGTTTGGGGTTTAGGGTTTAGGGTTTAGGGTTTAGGGTTTAGGGTTGGAGAGACACCTCGTTCAAAAAGGGTGTAAGGTTGAGCAATCGTCTGTCGCACTTTTCTTCGGGGAGCTGCCACTTCTTGAAGCTGAGGATGCTCCTGATCCAGAGCCTTGCTCATACCCGGCATGGTAAACCCTAAACGGTAAACCCTAATCCCTAAACCCTCACAGGGCCGTAAGCCGCAGCGTGTGCAACTTGCGCAGCTCAAATTCACAAAAAATAGTTGGCCCCGGGAGCTGGACAAGCGCTCGCCGGGATCCCAGACTCCAGCAGATTGCATGTCAGCGGCGTTTTCCAGCTGAGCTTTGGGAGCTTCATTTATTATCATTATGATTATCATTCTGTTTTGCCACTAGAATCTTCATTTTCCATGTTTTTTTTTTTTTTGGGGGGGGGGAACTGCAGACTAAACCCTAAACCCTATACCCTAAACCCTAAACCCTAAACCCCAAACCCTAAACCCTAAACCCTAATCCCGCAAAAGAGCCACCAAAGGGCTCCCAAGAGCCGAGGCGATGAGGCCGCCCTTCGCAGTGCTTTCTTGTTGCCGCCCCAGTGCCTGTGGGTTTAGGGTTTAGGGTTTAGGGTTTAGGGTTTTAGGGTTTAGGGTTTAGGGTTTAGGGTTTAGGGTTTAGGGCTAGTTCTACTGAAGATGGTGTCGGCGATCGGTGTGTCAGGGTGTGTCATGCAGAGCTGCATCAATGGCAGGTACTTTGGCCTGTCCTAAACCCTAAAACCCTAAAACCCTAAACCCCAAACCCTAAACCCTAAAACCCTCAAACCCTAAACCCTAAACCCTAAAACCCTGAACCTTAAACCCTAAAGCTGATGTTTCTGCCCAGGTTTGCTTTCCGCAGCAGCCGCCAGCAAGCTGGAAGATGCCTTCCAGAGTGTGCTGACAGGCTGGGGGTCTAGGGTTTAGGGTTTAGGGTTTAGGGTTTATGGGTTTATTTGTTATGGGTTTAGGGTTTAGGGTTTAGGGTTTTGGGTTTTGGGTTTTGGGTTTGTGTTTAGGGTTTACGGTTCAGGGTTCAGGGTTTAGGGTTTAGGGTTTGCAAAAAGGGTTTAGGGTTTAGGGAAGTGCCATGAAAGCTCAGGGTCTTTGCCCGTGTGCAAATGGGGGGGGGTTTCCGAATTTAGGGGTACTGTATTGGGGTCCTTATTGTGATAGGGGAATCCTACTATTTGGGGGACTCTATTAGGGGTCCCTTTGTTTTCGTAAGCCCCCCAAATAGCCAATGCGTTGAAGGCCCTCGGTGTTTGCGCGCTGTGCAGTTTCTGACCTGCCTTGGGGACCAAATGAACCCTAAAATTGGGGTCATATACCCTATACTACTATAATCCCTATTAAGGCATATGAACCATAAACCCTTTTAGGGTTCGAGCTCTTACTTCAGCTGGCCACTACTAAAACGATTACGTACCACTACTGCCACTACAGCAGCACCGCTACACTGTGACGACGACTACTGTGCTGCTACCGCTCCTGCTGCTGCTGCAACATCTGCCTGCTAAGCAAACACACACAGTGGAGGACTTTCGCAAAAGTATGGCTTTGCAACGCAGCTGGCTTGGAAGTCAGCCACCGAGGACGTTCAAGTCGGTCAGTTGATTGCTCGCCAGTGCAATGTGCACCGTAGTGTAGCCATTGGCATCTGCAGGTCGCCTATTTTATGGGTATTTCCCAAAATAGGGGTCCGTTTTATACCCAAATGGAATCGAATCCCCTTGAAGGGATCCTCAAAAACCCATTTTCGGAAAACCCCAACTATGTAAATCGTCAGGAGTTCACCGTCTCCGCTGGACGCGATCCGGTCTCTGGTCTGGCAGGAAGCTTATCTGACGGTACTCGTACCCGTCGTGTCTCCTTGCCATGAGAATCTGCACAAGCTACACTCTACAAGCCTTTACATTCAATTATTAAGGAGCTGGCAAGTTGAGAGACACATAAGCCTCAAGAACTTCCTCTTGTGCGACATGTCGCACCGAGCTTGAGATGCATGAGGAAATGCTGGAAGTTGCGGGGCTGCTGCTTCTGCACAATTTGAAGGCTGCAGGGAGAGAGCGCCTGTAAGAGTCCCCAAATTCCCCAAGGCCGTGACGGAGAACGACACCTTTGCGTTCGGCTCCGGGACCAAGCCCTACACAGCCTCTTGGCATCAGAAGCGTTTGTCAGAATATGGGGCCTTCCGAAGTAGGGGGGTACTTTTTTTAGGGTCCTTATGAAAAAAAAGGGGATCCTACTATTTGGGGGGTCTGTATTAGGGGCACCCCATATCAGACGACCTGTCAAATGACAAGCGCTCAAGCTTTTTTTTGTCAACTCCAGATGTCCATCCTACTTGCGTTAAATGGTCCTTTTGATGTGCTCCTCACCATTTTGGGTGTTGATCCCTGCCCTACCCCTAAACCCTAAACCCTAACCCCTAAACCCTAAACCCTAAACCCTAAACCCTAAACCCTAAACCCTAAACCCTATGCGGAGCTGCAACTGGTATTGTAGAAAAGAGTTGGTGATGGGAGTTGAAGGGGTCAATGAACCCGGATATTTTTGGCTCAAGAAACGTGGGCAATGCGCCCTACGGAAAAGGTGTGTTTGGTTGTGCTTTGGGTTTTGTCTTCGGTTGTTCCAGGGGAATCAAGGGCTTCTGTTGGGGCTGACTGTTTTGTTCCCTGTCCTCCTTCGGTTGCCCCCCGTAGGTTATGAGCCCAAATTAGGCTTCCTGCGGAATTGGTAAAGATTTTTCGTTTGTTTAACGCCATGGACATGATGCGGCGTCGCTCTGAGCCTGGACTGTCGCCAACGGCCAATGAAGCCGAAGGAAATCG